GTTCATCACAGTCGCCAGAGACTGTCATAGAACCAGTCGCTGCAGACTGTCATAGAACCAGTTGCCGGAGACTGTCATAGAACCCGTCACCGGAGACTGTCATAGAACCAGTCGCCAGAGACTGTCATAGAACCAGTCACCAGAGACTGTCATCAGTCACCGGAGACTATCATAGAACATGTCGCCAGTCACTGTCATAGAACCAGTCGCCGGAGACTGTCATAGAACCAGTCGCCAGAGACTGTCATAGAACCAGTCGCTGCAGACTGTCATAGAACCAGTTGCCGGAGACTGTCATAGAACCAGTCACCGGAGACTGTCATAGAACCAGTCGCCAGAGACTGTCATAGAACCAGTCACCAGAGACTGTCAAAGAACCAGCGGCCAGTCACTGTCATAGAACCAGTCTTCGGCGACTGTCATAAAATCAGTCACCGGAGACTATCATAGAACATGTCGCCAGTCACTGTCATAGAACCAGTTGCCGGAGACTGTCATAGAACCAGTCACCGGAGACTGTCATAGAACCAGTCGCCAGTCACTGTCATAGAACCAGTCGCCAGAGACTGTCATAGAACCAGTCGCCAGAGACTGTCATAGAACCAGTCGCCAGTCACTGTCATAGAACCAGTCACCAGAGACTGTCATAGAACCAGTCGCCAGTCACTGTCGTAGAACCAGTCACCAGAGACTGTCGTAGAACCAGTCACCAGAGACTGTCATAGAACCAGTCGCCAGTCACTGTCATAGAACCAGTTGCCGGAGACTGTCATAGAACCAGTCACCGGAGACTGTCATAGAACCAGTCACCGGAGACTGTCATAGAACCAGTCACCAGAGACTGTCATAGAACCAGTCGCCAGTCACTGTCATAGAACCAGCTGCCGGAGACTGTCATCGAACCAGTCACCGGAGACTGTCATAGAACTAGTCGCCAGAGACTGTCATAGAACCAGTCGCCAGTCACTGTCATAGAACCAGCTGCCGGAGACTGTCATAGAACCAGTCGCCGCAGACTGTCATAGAACAAGTCACCGGAGACTGTCATAGAACTAGTCGCCAG